TAAAAAAAAGTTGGCGTTAAAAATGAAAAAAAAAAAAAAATTTTCTTTGCGAATCGAAACAACAACCAACAACCTCGTTTTAAGCCAACAGCACGTGGCGTTCTCAAACGGTCACCCATCCAAGTTTGCACCACGCCCGATGCTGCTTAACTTCGGTGATCGTACGGGAACCGGTGTGACCAGCACGCTATGGCCGTTGGCTTTTATTATTATTATTATTATCACGTTTAAGGTACGATTTTTTTATTATCTCCTACCTGTGCGATTTAAAGAAAAGTTCTACGATGTACTACGGTCGACAGCCTTGCGATTGTTTGTTCATTTTCCATCCATGAGTCTGATAAGTTTTTCCGACGGAAAATTATTAAACCATAATCGATGATAAATCGACCGTTATAGAAAGGTTATCATCTATTAAATTTATAGCTTGAATGTATTATCATCATTATTATCGTTTTGGTAACCCGCACGCGCACACCCGCACACACGTCATCCCCTTCCCTCCTTTTTTCCCTTTGTTGTGTTTGTTTAAATAAAAACGTCTTTGCTTCTTTTTTTTTTTTCTTCCTCCCTGCATAATCGTGTTAATTATAATCATTATTATTATTATTATTTTATTTTCATTAACATAATTCGAGTTAAAAAACAACAACAAACAAACAAACAAACGGAGAGACAGAGTAATTAAAAAATAAATTTATGTTTTTACGTAATTTTTATATAAAAAAAAAGTTCGTAAAATTTACATAAGTTAACAATTTAATTTTAAATAAGTTATTATTATTATTATTATTATTATTATCACGCGGTTAATTAATTAATAAATGACGTCATCGTTTTTTTTTCCTCCAAAAGATTCCTTTAATTAATTTAATTAAATTTATTTTATTTTTTTTGGTAGAAAATTTACCAGGTTTATTAAACCATAATCGATAAATCGACGGAGGAAAAATCATTTGTTAAATTTATATCGCGAATGTACTATCATCATTATTATCGTTTTGGTAACCCGCACGCGCACACCCGCACACACGTCATCCCCTTCCCTCCTTTTTTCCCTTTGTTGGTTTGTTTAAATAAAAACGTCTTTTTATTTATTTATTTATTAACACGAAAGCGTAACGGTTTTTTTATTGTTGTTGTTGTTGTCCATTAAAAAAAAAAAAACCATTAAGACGAATTTTAATAATTAAAAAATAATTTTTTTTTATTTTTTTTTTAGACCGGAAATTGTTGTTTCCTAAGTGTAACAACATTTTAAAGGTTCGATCGTGTTTTGTTTTTTTAACCGTTACGACAACGACGACGAAATTCGTACCTGATTTTATTATTATTATTATTATTATTTTAATTAATGATTAATTAAAAAAGTTTTTTTTTTGGCACGGTTCGAATTTTTTTTTTTTCGGGGGAGGGGGACCGCATTTATTTTTTTTTTTAATAAATCGTCTAACCATCGCCATGTTTTATGTTTATGTTTATAAAACAACAACAACAACAACAACATGTTTATACCTTGACCGGTTTTTTGTTTTTGTTTTTGTTGTTGTTCTTTTCTAAAGGGCGGACGGATTTAAAACTAAATTATTTTATGTAATTTTTTTTTTTTTTAACTTATTTTAATAATAATTTTTTTTAATCCCGTGACGTAATTAATTGTCAGCCGGTTGGGAATTCCTCCTCTCCCTCCCCCATTCCCCCTCCCCCTAAATTTTAAATTTAAATTAATTAATTTTTTTTATTTTTTTTATTTTCTTATTCGTTTAAAATTTTTTTATTTTTTTTTATGTTGGTTCGATTTAAAAATTAAAAAAAAGAGTAAAAATACCTGAAATAATCAAAAAAAAAAAAATTTAAACATTTTCAAGCGATGTTAATGATATTAATAATAATAATAATAATAATAATAATAATAATAATAATAATAATAATAATAATGATAATAATAATAATTTTAACGTGATTTAGAAGAAGCGAATGTTTTTTTATTTTTTTTTAAACATTAAAAAATTTAAACTTTAATATAACTTTTATTATTATTATTATTATTACTATTATTATTATTATTATCGTTTAATTTTAATGGTGACGTTAATGACAGTTTTTTTTCTTTTTGATATTAAGAAAAAAAAAGATAAAAATTATGTTATTAAAGTTTTTTTTTTTTTGTATGTTTTTAATTAATCCGTCATTAGAAAAATTTTTTTTTTTTTTGATTTAATTTTTTCAAAAGAAAAAATTACGAGTTTAATAATTATTATAGCAAAGCTATAATATATAGAATTATAATTTTGCTATAAAAGGTTCGAAAACGTACCTGAATACCAATATAAAAAAAAAAAAAAGAAAACAATTAACCGACTACTTTTTTTTTTTTAAATTTGTTTGTTTAACACGCAAAAGTTACTATTATTATTGTTATTATTTAAATTGTTTTTTCTTTTTAAACGTAAAATTTTGTTTTTGATTGATTGATTGATTGGTTAGTATTATTATTATTACAGTTTTTTTTTTATTAATTTGAAAAAATAAAAAAAATTTTTTTAAGTTAATCGATTGTTTTTATTAAGCGTCGGTAAAAATTGAATAAAGAAAGAATTTAAAAAAAAAATTAAATTTAATGACAGTCTGACAACATTAGAAAAAAAAAAACAATACGTTTGTAAACCTTGAAAAAAAAAATTTTTTTCTATAAGAAACAATCGATGGAGAATTTTTTTTTATAGAAAGAAAATTAAATAAAAAAAATCAATTAAATCAATAAAACTTTCTAATATTTTACTTTTTTTTCGGTAGTACGAAAATAATGATAATAATAATAATAAACATCCGGTGTTCGTGTTTAGAGTTTAACTATTTCCGGTTTTAAGAAACAAAAATTTTTTTTGTTTTTAAATGGCGGATCTCTTGATGTTTCCCGTCTCATTAATTTCACAACAACAAAAAAAAAAGATTTGTTGCAGGTTAAACCACAACGCTTACCTTAAAATATATTTGATAGGAATAATAATAATAATAATAATGGTTAAAAAAAAGGCGTGGAAGAGAAGGAAGTAATGAGGAAAAAGGTGAAATGTTGAAATTTTAAAAAATTGACCTTTGACATTGAATAAATACGGGAGGAAAAGTAAAAATGAAAAAAAAAATAAAACTTTCACTTTGTTTTTTTTGCCGTTAAAAACAAGAGACAAAGAGAGAGAGAGAGAGAGAGAGAGAGAGAGAAATAGAAAGAAAGAGAAAGAAAGTGAGAGAAATACACAGAGAAGGAGAATGAGAGAGAT